ACAGATTGGTGTTGACCTTAATATTTTTATTCAAAAGATCTCCAAGGAGACTTTGAAAGACATGATACCAATATTATGATAAAATATTCCAATTTTATTCAGTGAAATTCATTTTGATATTTTTAAATTATGGTAAACAGTAGTAGAAATGAAAAGATAAAGCCCCTCAATCTGAAAGTTTTGTTCTGCTGATTGTCACTATAGGATAGAAAATGGGAAGCTGAAGGGCGAGAGCAACATGATCAAAGGCAAAGGGAAGGAAAATGCATGGCGTATTTGGAGAGCGGCTTGACAAGCGTACTTAGTTCTGTTGGCATGGGAAAAACTTAAACAGGGTAAGCCAAGGATATTTGTGGACTTTTTCCTTGACACAAAAGGGAATGGGAGACTTGTTATGGGAAAAACAAATTTGTAATATCTCTAAGCTGCTGTCTAGTTTTAAACTGCATTTCATATATTATTCCAAACATGGCGAGAGTCAGGCAGGGCACACATACTAGATGTAATACAGGCAAGGACCGACTGCCCCATTTCACCCAGCTAAAGTGGAGCTGGGACTGGACCTCTAGTCTTTCCTGAGCTTTGCTCCTCTTCCACTACTTCACATACCATCAATCCTCGGGACATAAGGAAAGAAGTACTTTGGGAAATCTATTCTGGAGGTGTCATATAGGGAAGATTAGATAGGAAGGAACCAAGAGACAGGAGGCTGCTAGAATACAGACTGTAGATGCCCCCAGGATAAGCACTGCATGTGAGATTGGAGGCGCTGATCTGAGGCATCAACAGAAGACAAGACAGGACATCATTAACAACTTGGGTAGAATGAAGGCAAAGGATTCAAAGACACTTCTAAAACAACCCGGGACAAATGGTGCCCCTGCAGAGGGAAGACGATTTACATGTATGAGAAGGGAGCTAATGAACTTGATTCTGGCAAACATCACATATTTGAGGAAACAGAAAAATATACAGGATGAGATGCTTTTAACAATTATGGTATAGGTTTGTATTTCAGCTCAAATGTTGGAGCTGGAGAATTAAATTTGAAAGGAATTGATTTTAGAGTTGATGGACTTTATATTTTATTAATTTTTTTTAAAGATGAATGGGTCCCATCAGAAAAATAAACAGTAAATAAAGGTGTTCCCTGATGAAAATTATTGAAAAAGTTCTCAGAATATATTTACCAAAATTCAAATTTTCTAATCATTGTCACTTGTCTACTGCTTGTCTCAGTTCAAACAGCTTGGTCTTAATGCCACTATCTACAGTAGTAAATTAATCTTCTGAGATTTAAGCAACCAGTTTTTCAATTTTTTTTTTTTTTTTCTCAAGAAGGTACGTTCTTCTCCAGCTGTCTCCCAGCTATATATAGGCTAAATCCTTTTCAATATGCACTGGGGGAAATTTCAAAGTGATACATTTAACAGACAATCCTCATCTGGATTTTAATTAAGGCACTGCATAAAAACTACCTGGTAAGGAAATACAGGATCAGCACATGTCAAAAAGAAGAGGTGGAAATAGGAAACAGGCTGCTAGTATGCTGGGAGCTTTAGAACTTATAACTTTAGGTCTGAGGCTAGTGACCAGAAAGCCCTCATAAGTTCAAAATGTTTTAAAAATTAAATTTACTTTTCGGAAAGTATAATGTTAAAGCAAATGGAGAGCAGCACAGTAAAAATCATTCTGGGTTCAAAATAAAAAAAAATGTTAAGGACAAAGGGATAAGATAAGGTAGTTATTAACTCAAAATAAAATATTCTGGAAGCACTATATACAGGATAGAGGTGACAAAGCATGAAGGGTAGAAAAATGAAGAGAGGAGCAGCAAAGTAATAAAAAATGGACAAATCAGGCAGAAAAGGAAAGAAGTGAAGCAGGAATTCTCTTCAATTACAAAGACTGAAGTGTTTAATTTAGAAGAAAAAGCACTAGAGAACACGTTTCTTTCCTGCAAATTTCTGGTCCCTTACTTATTCTAAATCAGCATCTTTACAAAAGGGATGGGAAGAGATGTTCTTTACGAGGGTGACCATATAATTTAAGGTCCTTATCAGGGCATTTTTGTCTAGGACAAATGCTAAATCAGATAGGATACCAGAACCACTGGTATAATCAGGAGTATCCCAGGCAAACCAGATGGAGGTGTGGTAGAGTGATTGCAAAAATGTCCACAATTCCTCACCCCTCTATATCCCTATCTTTTACAAAACAATTTCACAGCTCCTCCTATCAGCAAGTAGACTCTATTCCCCACCCCTTGAGTCTGGTCTGGCCCTGTGATTAGTTTTGGCTAATACAGTATGGCAGAAATGTGATGAGGTGCTAGTTCTGAGACTAGGTCTCAAGACACCGTGGGCACCTGCGCTTTCTCTCCTTGACTCTTGTCACCCCTATTAGAACAAGCCTTAACTAGCCTGGCTAGAGGATCAAACACCGCAGGGAGAGCTCAACCCCACCACCCACCTCCCTCAACCAATACCCAGGCTAATCCCAGAAGCTGAACCACCCAGCCAACCTGACACCTACCATGAGAACCCAGCCAAGATCAAAACCATTCAGCTAAGTTCAGCCTAATCTTCTCTAAAATCATGAGCAAAATAAATGGTTGGTGCTTCCAGCCACGAAATTTGGGATTTGTTTGTAACACAGCAATAGCGAACAGATACGACTCACTCTGAGTGAGCTTACCACCTTAAAAAGGCAGCAACACTGTTTTCCACCAGAGTGAACCAACCTAACTTACCCACCTGCACCTGGGGTAGGATTAAGAAACCCAAGGCTCTTCAGCCAAAGCCCTGGAAGATATACTTCTCTTGTTTCTCACTTCCAGAAACTTAAGAGTGCTCTACCCAAAACTAATTATTGGCTATGCTCATGCTTTCCCTAGGAAATTAAAATCTACTAAGCTCAAATCCAACACTAACACCTTTAAGAAGCATTTTGTAGTTTATATACTTTACATACACCATTTCCTTTTAAGGAAAAAATGACGGCACTCAGGCAGAGCAGGTATCACTATGCCCATTTTACAAATGAGGAAATCAAGTTAAAGGGCAAGTTAAATGACTTTTACAAGTAGCAACTGGCAAAGCTACAATATTTATAACTACATCTACAAACTCACTACTCCTTCTTAGAGTCCTTATACTAAAATCTTGGGTCAGTATTAGTATAGAATTTTTCAGGTATGTATGTTAATTAAATCTGTGAGGCACTGTTTCCTTTCTTATAAAGATGGAGATAACATGACTTAGTTCAAGAGTTGTTTTGAGGAGCAAATAACATATGTAACACACATAGCTCAAGACCTAGTACAAATGTTAGGCTCCTGTCTTCACTGACAATGACAGGGCTCTCTCCTAAGCTAGATAACCTCTACCCTTAGAGCACCAAGCATCACCTGAAATGACAAATTTTCAGATAGTATAGGCAAGTTTATTTCTAAGGTAGAAGCATTTATTTCAGATGTAGAAAAATAACACTATTTTAGTCAGGGTAAGTACGCAGAAGTATATTTTTTCCTTGCATACCCATACTCCATGTCAACATACGTTTCAAGCCATTCTTAACAAGGAACAAATACAGAATCAAGGTAGTTGCTGTCAACAGAAGAGATGTATGAAAGCTACATATTAGCCCTGGAAATCAGAAAACAAAGTGATCTTGTGCAATGATTCTCAACTTGAGTATGCATCAGAATCACTCAGATTGTGGAAAAAGCGCCTTCAGGGAACTGAAAAAAACTACGTTAAGCGAACCATTGGGCTCAGAATAAATACCAGAGAGACTACAGATACATACTTTGTTCCTCAGGGAGAGGAGATCAGCCATTTACTCATTACGTGACTTCTCTGAGCTTCAGATCCAGCAATAATAGATACTACTCTCAAGAACTATCCTACAGATTAGGTCAGATAGCATGTAATCAGTGCTTCTTCCCCCACTCCATAACACATTATTTTAACATCATAATTATTATTTGATACAGAAAACATTCTCCCCCACCCACTACTCCTAAATAGCTATTATTTATTTTAAAAGTCAAACAACCACTCAGTGAGTTCAAGCTCATAGACTACTGGTACCATTTTTATACTGGTATCATCTTTACTAGCTTCAACCATTCACTAACATGAGATTTCAAGACGTGGTTGAAATGACAATTTTTATATCGAAACTAAGACAAGGATTCAAAGAAAAGGAACTAAAGCTTCAAAATTGTGTCTTGCTTCTAAAGCATCAATAGCTAGATGAATGACCCATTTTAGAAACTCTCTGATGTTCCCTGTATTGTTTTCTGAATCTTGGAAGACTATAGATGGAAAGATGGGAATAAAATACCTATAATCTCATTACTTCCTATATTCAATATACTACATAGTAACATTTGACAGTAAAGTTTTTGGCCATTTAAGTACCTACCTACATAAATATTTGAGGTTTTAATATTCTAAAACTATAAAACACAGCTATAGAGATGCACAGTTAGGCTAGGATAAGTTTTCTCAACCTCAGCACTAATGAGACATTTTGGGTTGAATGATTCTTTACTGTGTGAGGGGGGAAGGGGTGTCCTGTGCATCGAAGGATATTTAGCAGCATCCCTGGCCTTTACACACTAAATGCTAGTAGCAACCTGCCCCCAACCCCAGTTTTGACAATGAAAAATGTCTCCCGACATTGCCGAATGTCTTTTGGAGGCCAAAATCACCTCTGGTTGAGAACCTCTGGGCTAGAATTTTATATAGGTATAATTGTAAACCCTGGGTGCACAGACTATACAAGACTCTATGTAATATTACCAATATAAAGAGTCCAGCACAAGTTCCTGCTATATTGTTTATGCTAGGGCACGGAGTTTTTATATAATATACTACTTAAGCATACAGCTACCCACATATAACTTTTTCTTATTGAAAACACTGATATTAGACAAGAAAATAAAAACTACAGCTAATCCAGCAACCATTTTTATATCACCTGGTATAAGAAAAACCTACAGTTTACAAATATTTGCTAAATGGAGGCCTAGAAAAATCACTGCAAGTGTCCTTCCTTCTGAATTCGAAGTCTTTCTTTCTCTACTTGCAAACGTTCCTTTTCAATCTGCAGCTTCTCGGATTCAAACTTCAAAAACTGCAGCCTATCTTTTTCCAGTTGCAAGCGTTCTCGCTCAAGTTTTAACTTCTCTGTTTCTATGTCCTGTGGTTGAAGCATGGACTTTTCCCCTTGACCAAGTTCGTTTTCCAAAGATGGTTTCTCTGAATTCACTATCTGTAACCTCAGCTTCTCTCTTTCAATCTGCAGCCGCTCCTTCTCCAGCTGAAGCCGCTCGTGCTCCATGTCTAAATGCCGCAGCCTCTCTTTCTCAATCTGCAGGCGTTCCTTTTCTACCTGCAGTCTTTCAGCCTCAATATCCAGGCGTCGTTTTTCCAACTCTAGTTTCTGTTTCTCTATGTTGACAAGCAAGTGGGGCTCATCGTACGCAGATCTAGATGGTGTTGAGTTAAGAGTAAAAAACTCATCAATGTGGGGGAAATCGGGAAGTTCATTTTCCCTCCTGGAATCTGGTATGACCGATGACAACATTTCTTCTTCCTCCTCAATCTCAAACTAAGAGAAAAGAGAAAAGCAATTTTCAGTATTCACTTCTACTTCATCGTTGCCAATCTGTCTAAATATATCTTAAAAGCTTTCTGTGTTGTTGGAGTATACAAAGCCATTTAGTTTGAATTTTGAAAATCATCTACATTGAATTACCTGATGTCACTAATACATACAGTTGAGGTTATTATGCTTAGGTGGGAAGAAAGGTATTACTGATGTAAAGAGAAAACAAATGGAATGACCTTGTCATGTACTATCTTTAAGTAAACTAGAAAATCTGGCAACTTCTTTTAACCATTCCTGAACCATAAACTCCCACACTGGAATTGAAAAAGAAAAAAAAGAGGGCACACAGGCTAATACTTACTTCAGGACTCTGGGGATCCCTTTCTTCCTCTTCCACCTTGACCTCAGTTAAGGATCCACCTGCATCCCTGAAATCTGCCACATTTTGCCAGTCAAAATTTGCATCATTTCGGAATCCTATCTTTTCATCTATCTCTTCAGTGAGAGAGTCATCTAAATCAGAGGAGGGAAGGGGAAATCCAGAACCAACTAACTTAATGTTGGCCTTCATCCTCTTTCTCTTCATAAGTGCTCTCCAGTCAAGGTACCTTCTTTTCACTTCCGTCCCTGTCCTCTGCTCTCCTTCTCCTACGGCATTCACACACTGTGCAATCTCCTCCCAAGCCATTCGTTTCATCACGTTAATTGTCGTGTTGAGCTGCTTGGAAAAAATGACTTCTTTCCTTTTCGTAATTTCTTTCAAAAGGGTCTGAGTCTCTTGAACACTAAAATTGCTTTTCCTTTTTCTTTTCAGCTGCTTCATTTTTTTAACTTAAATGCAGTTCTTATAGTAAGAGAAGATGTGAAAGGAATTTGAGGAATGCTGCAAAGCACAAAAACCAAGGACAACTCCTTGTTGTCACGTAGTTCAAATCACTGAGTTTTCCATTCATCTAGTAGCAGAGGCAGGCTGGATAATTCCTAAAGGGGAAAAAAGTAGTATCAATCTGCAACTTCTCTAATATACTTCAACCCAATAAGCTAAATAATTTTAAAAAGAAAAAACCATCTTCTATATGGCTTAAAATTATCTAGTTCTCTTTCCACCATTGTCCCAACTTATCATCTTCTCTCACTCAGGCTGCTGCAATGGCTCCTAACCAGTTGCCAGTATTCACTCTTGACCCTCTCTGCTTCTCCAGCTCCTTCTCCCACTCATTCACCCTCTTTCTGCCAACTACACTGGCTTTCTTTCAGTCACCTATTCCTGTCAAGCTCTTTCCCTGTTCAGGGCCTTTGTCCACACTGTTCCCTCTACCTAGAAAATGGACTGCTCTTTTTTTGGCCTATGTAATTCCTCCTTATCCTTCAGCTTGCAGATTAAGCATCTGTTTCTCAGTGAAGCTTTTCCTAACAAGTCAAATTACTCTAGCATAAAGTCTATAGTACTTTCCCTAGTCCAAATTTTATACTTGTACTAACATATAGCTCAGAGTCTCTCTCTCCCCGACTTTACTACAAGTTTCATGAAAGCCGAGATGTTTCCACCCACCATCATTTCCCCAGAGCCTAGCAGAGTTTCTGGCACATGGCAGGCACACCATAAATATACTTTGAATGAATGCATGAGTGGATTTGCCAAAATGATCATTAGTTTGAAATACTGAAAAGAAAAAATAAATGTAGACACTGTATTTAGAAGAAAAATAAAAGGCTGAGCTGCAAAATCAACAAAACCCAGAAACTAATTTGAGACAATACAATCTGATCAAAGAAATGACAACTACCTCTATTTTACTACTTCACAAATTAAAACTTATTTTGAGGTTAAACCAATATAGAAACTCTAAACTTGGAATAAAATTTTATGAAACAATGAACATATTGTAGGGATAAAACAAAATTAGAAGAGTAACATTAAAACAAACAAACAAACAAACAGGGATTTTTTTCCCCAGCCACACCACCTAATTAATCAGTTAAAAGCAAAAGAAAACCAATTAAAACAAAAAAATATTTTTAATTCCTAAACCTTCTGAACACTAGCACACATTTCATGGTTTGCCATTGTAATTCTGTCCCTCAATGTTCACTCTCCCTCAAATCACTTAAACAAAAATCTCTACAAAAAACACCAAAAACCAAACAAACAAAAAAAACAGGCCGGATGGTGTATTTGTTTCTAATCAATGCTTTTAATTATCTGCTTTTCTTTGGAGAATCTCTCAGTAGTACTTTGTACTTTTCTGGGCCACTTTAACTGTAGAGTTGAAGATCATGATATAGGGAAGTATATACTTGGAGATTCCATGAAATAAATTAAAAATATTCATGTGGCAATATTTTAAAAGAAATTATGAGTGGGAAAGATCCTCTTGTGAGCATTTATTTCTTTTAGATGCAAGAGAGAATATTTCTCCAATTCCAGACAATTCTCAGGCTGTCCAATTATCAAAGAGTGTGTATCTGAAACTTGTTAGAAAGGTAAACTCTTCAGGCTACACTTCAGACCAATTGAATCAGAAACTCTAAGGCTAGGATTTAACGATCTTTGTTACAATAAGCCTTCCAGATGATTCTAACGCAGCTAAAGTTTGAGAACCTCTGTGCTGGACCCACACCAGTAAAACAGATCCTTCGCACGCACACTTAACTCTTTCATCCACCTTGATTTCAAGGCTAACATTTTATAAATGCATCTGACTGGTGGAATCTAAAGCACATCTAAAATCCTCACTGCAGTGGCCCTGCTATCTAGCCTTTCCACTATGGGAAGGTATTTTAGGAAGTTGAAACAGATGTTGAGTAAGTCAGGGATTCAATTTTGTCCTAAAGGCATAAAATGAGGTCAACTACCGAAAAGGTCCCAGTGCCTTGCATAGCGTATCATACAGTGCTTTATAAATGTTGGTTCAACTGAGGGGAAAAGTGGGATAGAGGTCTCTTTTACTTGGAAGAGATTTTACAAATATGTAACAGGGAACAAGGACTCAAAAGGATTAAGAGTTACCTACCCAGACCATGTTGTCTGACTTCAAATTCACTCACTGATCACTGCTACACAGCTGACTTTACAAAATGAGAATATGGGATGAGATTGCTAAGGTCCCTTCCAGTCCTATCATGGTACAACCATAAACTTTTCCTGTCAATATGAAGAAAAAATATCAAGTGTCTATTAAGTTCCAGGTCTTGTCATTGAAGCTTCTCCATAGCATTTTACGGGAGATGCCAGCCTTTCTATTTATAAAACAAGATTCAGAGAGGTTAATTTCCAAACAACATAGCTAAATGACAAGACTTATATCCAGGTTCTTTCATGTCTCATCTGCTTCGACTTTATTAGCAGCCTGTGATAGCTAAATCTTAGAAATATGTTCCTAAGGTAAGTTTTGAGATGCAATTCAGTAAAAGACTTTCAAAAGGAGTAGATTCTTATCTATGTGGAAGGTCCAGATAAAATTCTGTATATAGCCAAAAAATTTCCTTAAAGCCTCAACCAGTTAGGTTTCCTCTATCATGTGTTAAAGTAAATTTAAAATGGAGGCCGGGCGCAGTGGCTCACGCCTGTAATCCTAGCACTCTGGGAGGCCGAGGCGGGTGGATTGTTTGAGCTCAGGAGTTCGAGACCAGCCTGAGCAAGAGCGAGACCCCGTCTCTACTAAAAATAGAAAGAAATTAATCAGATAACTAAAAATATATACAAAAAATTAGCCGGGCATGGTGGCGCATGCTTGTAGTCCCAGCTACTCGGGAGGCTGAGGCAGGAGGATTGCTTGAGCCCAGGAGTTTGAGGTTGCTGTGAGCTAGGCTGACGCCACAGCACTCACTCTAGCCCGGGCAAAAGAGTGAGACTCTGTCTCAAAAAAAAAAATAAATTAAATAAATAAATAAAATGGAGACAAGGCCTGAAGAATCCCTGAGCAGACAAAGCCAGCTTGGCTCCAAAAGTGACCTTATTGACCTTGCTTCATTTGTAAACATAAGCAAAACTTAATTTGGTTTATTTTTTATAAATGTCTATATTAAAAAAAATGAAACTTAAGGCTAGTCAATCAGAAGCCACCAACTAACTTACACAGCTAGAGACTTTCCAGAAGGATAGACCAAATAAGGCAACCTTGTAAATGTACTTTCATGCTAACCCTATACAAGCCTTCCTCTTGTATTCCCTCTGCAGAGCCCCCAAACCACTTCTGGTTTGGAGCTGCCTAATTCATGAATCACTGTTCACACAAATAAACTCTTTAAAATTTTATTGTGCCTCAGTTTACCTTTCAACTATGGTTTCTTCTCAAATACTTTAATGTCTGCCAATTTAAAATGTATGTTAGTGTGAGAAATATTTCTTTAGTAATTCACAATAAAAATAGTATCTTCTACTGAAGCAAAAATATAAGAATTAAGCAAGGCTAAATTGAATCAGAAACTTCACAAAAAGTCTTTTTTATCACTGTTTGAGCCTTTTCTCTTTTGGACTGAAAAGTGGATGCTAATTCCTTATTTTTAAATTTTAATAACAAATCATTTTTTATTACCATTGCACTAAACTTTTAAGTATTTTCCTTTCTAAGCTCCCAGTAATCTTTGTTCAGTTAACTTTGTATATCTCTAATAACAACACTAAAAATATGCCCACCATGACATCTTGTTGTGTCTAATCACTCATGTGGAACAACCATCTCCTGAACTGCCACTTGCTGCTGAAATGGAGGTCAGAGAAACCTAAAAATCCCAAACAGCAGAAAATAAATTCTCAAATCACTGTCACTTTCACACACTCACAAATAAGGACAAAATATGCAAAAATAAAAAAAAAAAGATTGTAGGCAAACTATTTCTAAAGTAGACTAGTAGACTTTCGAAATTTTTCAAGAGACATTTAATGCTAAAATTCAAATCCACTAAATTGGAACGTGTAATCAGTGGCAGCACTCCTGATATTGTCCTAGGGATATACTGCCCTAATAAATACAAGCCTTTTGTCACTAGAATGTAAGCAAAGGCATTTCACAAATTAAAACATCATCAAAACAGGCAGTGTGTGTAGTGGTTATGAGCAAATTCTGGAATCAGACTGCCTGGGTTAAACCCTGGCTCTGCCACTTCCTAGTTGTGTGGCCTTACTTAACCTCCCAATGTGCAATTTCATTTGTAAAATGATGATGATAACATTGCTTCACAGAGATACTACAGGATTAAAAGATTTAGTAAAATACAAAGAACAGTTCCTGGCACAAACTACACATTATTCAGTGTTTGTTATTATTACTTCCAAGGCAAAATCTTTAAATAATTTTGACAAAAGGAAACAGAAAGGTCACAACATTAGAATTGTTACAGTTCTTAAGTTGAGTGGTAGGCCCACGGGTCTTTATTATTAAGCTTCGTAACATATAAGATACACTAGGGGTGTGCTGAAGCCTGACTGGGAGAGCTCCCCAGAGTCAACTGTGCACATCTTTTTCCACTTTTACAGTCAGCAATGTTCTGGTGGGAGCTAAAAAATTGGCCAAGATGGCAGTACTTATACTACAGAATTGACAAATGCTACAAATTAGGATTTTTTTTTTTTGAGTTCTAATAAACCATCAAGGAGCCAGTTTATTAGAATACTATAGCTACACTATTATATTTCTGCATATATCAAACATAACCTAATAAATAAAATTAAGAAAAATGGAACATTTCAGCATCTGATCCCAAGTCAGTTTAGTGAACATTCTAGAATGCTTATAATTTTAGAGGACCAAATTTAATTAGCATTCTGGCCTAACATTCCTAGATAATTCAATTATCCAATAGAGTGGGTAAGTATTCAGCTTTCCTCTACAG